CCTCCCCACACTGCCGAGCCATGTTCATCTTGGAGTCAATAATGACTGCAAGATCCTTTTCCACCTCCGTGCTGACAAGAGGGGAGTTCCCCAGCCTGTAGGTATGGTGCTGGTTGTTCCTCCCCAGGTGCATCACCTTGCACTTGTCTGTGTTGAACCCCATCCTGTTCTCCTCCGCCCATCCTTGTAACCTGTCAAGGTCCGACTGTAGCCTGTTGCTCCCTTCTATTGTGCCCACATCCCCCCACATCTTGGTATCATCAGCAAATTTGAACAGGGAGCTTTGCACCCCCTCATCCAAATCACTGATGAAGATGTTGAACAGGGCGGGCCCGAGGACCGAGCCCTGTGGGGCCCCACTGCCCACATCCTTCCAGGCCGAGAAGGACCCATCCACTACCACCCTCTGGGTGCGGCTCTCTAGCCAAGTCCCCTTGTGGTAGATAATTTTCATACAAATAATCATGTGATAGCTCTTGTACACAAGAGCTAACAGTCTAATATCAGGGGTAGGCAAACTTTTCTGTCTGTGGGCTAGAATGACCCACAACAGAGGTGGGCAGATGGGCTAGCACTGTTCTCCCCATGGTGGCACAGGGAGAGTGCCTGGAGCTAAATGCCGCTGATGCTCCACATCTGTGGGCAGAAGGCTGATAACCTTCAGTCTAAATAAGCAAAACAGAAAGAGCTTTGCAGTAGGGCTGTGTGAAGCTTTGGTCCCTGATTCGATTCGGTGGAGATTTGGCCCTATTCGGTGGCTGAATCTCTGAATCAAATCAGGAGACCCTTTAATCTCTCCAAATTGGATTGAAACCCTCCGAATAGATTCAGAGAGATTCGGACATAGACGCAGCTTTAAACGTTTTCTCTACATACCTCAAGGTACGAGGCAGCTTGTCAATGCTGCAATGCTGGGGAAGATGGAGCCTCCCACAGGAGCGCGGCGGGCTCCCCAGCAGACCCGGAAGTGGACCAGAAGCACTTCCAGTCCACTTCCAGGTCTGCTGGGGAACACGCAGGGGGGGCTCCCTGCCCTGCGTGCCCCCCCCCTGCTCAGCAACTAGCACCTCCTGGGTCTGGGGGGACACTTGGGGTCCTCCCGTGGCTGGCTGAGCTGGGAGGTGCAGGTGGCCCCCCACGCGCTCCCTGGAGGACCTGGAAGCAGACTGAAAGTACATCTGGTCCACTTCCGGGTTCACTGAGCTCACGGGGGGGCCCCCTGTGCTCCTGTGGGATGCTCCATCCAATCCAGCATCACAGCTTCATGAGCTGCACCTGGTACCCTGAGGTATGTAGAAAAAACATTTAAAGCTATGTCTATGGCCAAATTGCTGATTCTCCAAATCAGCACTGAATCTTCAGATTTGGCCAAATTGAATCGGGAACAGTGATCTGAATCAACAAATTGAATCACTGTCCCCAGTTCGGGCTGAATCTGAATCAAACACGGCCCGTTTCGCACACCCTACTTTGCAGCTTCTGCCAGCAGTATTTCCCAAAATTGATACACCTGGGCTATGCTCTTTCAAACTGCAAGTTCCAGTTTGCTGATGGATATCTTCAAACACCCCTTCTAAATATCCCCCTTCTCTGGTTTGTCATCAGATGGCTCATCCAAAGCTATTTCAAGTCTGTCCCGTTTCTTTTAGCTCTGCTGGTGTGGCACTCCAAAGGCTCCTTCTTCCCAGCAGTCATTTTATTTTATAAGTTATAAAAGGCCTATACTACTCTTATTTACTGTTAAGAATTTTGATCTGTATTATCATGTCATTTCTGTATGAGACATAGATCAGGATCCACTATATTAGGCGTGGTACAAACACAGAAAAAGAGGTCTCTGTTCCACAGTTTAAAACAAGATAGGTAAGGAAGTCCAAACAAACAGTATTTATCAGCAAGGTAGACAGTGGTCTTATCACATCAGCAACTAGCTTAAGCTATTTTGTAGGCATTATTACAGCAATGGAAAATTTTAAGGAGGGATTTAAAAGGAGTACGCAGCCAATGGGAACTTAAAAAAATGAAAAAAAAATCCCTGTTTAAAAATGACAACCAATGTGTACACATCAGGGACTAATTGAAGGCAGAAGCTGAACTCTAATTACTGAACTGACAGACAGGTATAGAATACATTGTGAAGTGCTTGTATTCACCTACAAGTAATCCTGTATTTGATGCATTAAAAGAGGAATGTAGAGAGGTAAGCAAGCTAGTCAAAGCAGTGGACTGCCACCTATCTTTGCAGCAGCATTCTGAATGGATGAGAGCACAGAAAAACTGAATTTGTCAGGGCCAGAAAAAAAGATATCAGAATAATCAAGACGAGATGATGAGAACCTGGAAAACAGATGTGTGAACTTTACATTGTGAAAAAAAATCTGAAAGATTTAGATAGCCTGAATATGGGTTTAGAATGCAGCCTAACCAATGACATAAGTTACAGGTCATAGCATCTCCAATTTTTTTTTCTGAAAGCCTGGAATTGTTCACAAGAACAAGACAAGACAGGAAGTTCTCTTGGCACAGAGATGCTACTGTCCATGCTGGAATCCCCCATCCAGTGTTGAATGATGTGAGACCCAGGATGGCTCTGAAACTGATCTCCTCTAAATTTCTGGAAAATGAAAAATACCAAGTATAGACCTAAGATCCATTTTTTCTTTTGCTCCTGCATCCAAGGGCAGTGTTTACTGGGACTGCTCAAGATGGTGAGTTTGATTTTAAAGAAGAAGCTGTTTGAGAAAGAACTGCAACTCACTACTACTCTCACTCACTGGTTTGAGATTGTCAAAGATGATTCTTTTGAGAAGTGAAATTGTCTCCCAGTCCCCTGGCAGACATACAGCTAAAGGCACAATGGAATCTGATGTGTGAACCCAACAATAGTGCTTCCTGCCATTTCCTTCCTGCATAGCGGGGAGTGTGACTGTGGGATCACACATCAGATCCCTATTGTACCACAATGCTGGTACAGCAGGACCCCAGGCTCCCCCTGCACAGGCAAGTAGAAAGCTAGTCAAGTTGATCCTGCTCCCGGCCTCAAGAGCATATTAGAATCAAGGGCTCCAATGTGCCCAAGTCTGGAAGTGCCGACGAGCTGACTGCCACTCCCAGCCTCAGAGGTGCACCACAGCCCTTGACTCTGGGAGCCCAGATCACAGGATCTGGGCTGCCAGGCTCTGGCGTACAGGGGAGGTCTTGACTCCATTGTGTTCCAGAGGCTGGGAACTTTAATCAGCTGCTGCTCCCAGCAGGAGTGTCAGTGTGGTGTCAAGGGATCTGATGTGCCCCCATGCCTGAGCATGACAGCTAACCGTGGCTCCCAGCCTCCAGGACACATTCTAGCCCTTGAGTCTGATGTGCCCTGGAGGCTGGGAGCAGCAGTCAGCTGATCAGCGCTTCCAGTCTTGGGTGCACACACGAGTCAAGGGTTCTCATGTGCTCCTGAGGCTGGGAGCCCTGATCAGCTAATGTCTGGCCATACATGCAATTTAATGTGGGATTAACTGCATGAATATTTGGCTGGGTTATTACTTGCAACATGATTAACTGGTTAATCATGTCTTCAGTATAACATCTACCAGGGGCCCCAGATTCACATCTGGGTAGAGACAGTTCAGTATCACAGGGAGCTCTTAGAGACTGTGCTTCCACACCTAGTTTTGCTGCCTGATGGTTCCTGAATTTGTCCTGTCATCATTTCCCCAATACTTCAGTGCAGACAGACAAAAGGAATGTTTCTTCCATCTACTGGGCTGGAAACCCCTTTTGAGGCATTATGGGCATTTTTACATGTGTAAATGCCACAGTGCCAGGCACTTTGAAAAGCACCCAGCGCTGTGACATTTCCAGTTGTATAAGCAATGAAATGTGTATCAGCACCGAGAAAATGGCAGCGGCACACTTTTGAACTAAAACACATAGGAGGTGCTTTAGTTCAAAAGTGCACCGCCACCATTTTCTGCGTGCTGACACGCATTTCACCACTTATACAACTGCACGCAGCAGTGTGAAGTTTGCTTCAGCTCATGTATAGTGGTAGATCTCTGGCACGTCACGGGACAAAAAGTACGTGTATAAATGTCCTATGTGACGAGGATATGAACTGCTCCATCTGTCACAATATTAGCGGATGTCTGTGTCTCACAATGAAGGAGGCTGTGAACTGGGTTGGAATACAGGGTTCGTCTGAAATGGATGTCACCAGATGTGGTGCCTACCTGCTGAGCTGGATGCTATGGCTGTGGTTGAAAACCTCTGCTGTATTCATAAATGTTGTTGATATGGCCACTTTCTAAGGGGCAGAATGGAATTTAGGATGGCCAGAGTTCTCCTTTGCTTTAAAGTGATCAAGCTAGGATATCATAGCTATTGAAATATGTGGTGGGCAACATCAACAAAACTGGCTGAGGAAACTTCAAAATCTATTTTGAGATGCCTGCATCCTTGGGAAAGACCTACTTCAGACAGGAAATGCTTTGCTAAATAAGCCAGTGAGGGCATTCTTTTTAGGCTCTGGCAACTTATAGGTTGCACAAAAACACACACACTTGAATGTACCCTTATCTAGGATTCTCAGTTCCTCCTTGTTATCTGTTCAAAAGGATGGTGGAACTGGGTGCTGCCAAAAATTTGGCAGGTCTGCTTGCCTTTGTGAGCTTCTTCTAGTTGGATCTATATATAATGTCAAATATGACCATTCTGCTCATGTGTCCCAATTTATTCTGCAGGAAAAAACTTTTCTGCATTTTTCCATCCCTCAGTCAGAATGGGGACTCAGGAAAAGTGCCTCTTACATTTCTTTTCCCCCCCTCACCCTTTTCTTGCAATTCATTTTAGAATTTTTAGCCCCCTTCGCAGCAGTTGCCACATTGCTGTGGCCACGGTGGAGCCTCTTGCAGTAATTCTAATCTAGATTATAGTACTCCAGAGAAAAGGAGAGAAATAGATTGCTTCTTGCTATCAGAAAATAACTATTAAATGCAAAGCTACAAAAGAGAAGGTGAGGTGTGAAGTGAACTGCTAGACAGAAAAGGATGCCAGCAGTTGGGGCAGTGTTGCAATACTAAATGGCACTTAGAAAATGCAAAAACAGGAGGGGAACAGCCTGAATGTACCAAGACTGTGGGAGATGTGAAGATGCAGAAAACCAAGTTACACACATTTAGGAGATGTAAAACTGGAGTGATGCTTCAGTTATCTACCAGTAGAATTCCACTTGACTAGCCAAATAATTCATGCAAAATTCTTGATGGAACAGGAAACAAAACTAGGTAGATCATTATGTGGTAAAGTGGTGAGGATCCCTGTAAACAGAAATAAATTCTTCTCTACGCATGCTACCTAAAACATGCACAAGCCAACTCTGCAGAAGCAGGCTTAAGTAGGAAGGCACATAAACTGCCTATCATCCATTTCACTTCAAAATCAAATCACCTCTCAAGCAACTGCATCTTTTCTCCAACATTCTGCTTCTACCAATAATTATTTTTGCATGAGAAAATTATATTTTTTAGCTGGTCTCAACGCCGTTTGTGGTTGCCAATCTATCTGGTTAGGCTTAAATTTGGTTACAAATTTTAGATTTTAAATTGGTGTATTTCAGTAAGCTTTTAAAAGCTTTAAAAACAGAATGTATGCACACAGTAGGACTAACACTAATAGAAACAACAGAAAGTAAGGAAATCAGCATAAAATATGATTGACAGCAAAAGAAAATCTGTATCAACTGCTATGTGAAAACAGCACAGTCAATAAAAGGAAAGCACAGATGCATAACTGTTATAGACAAAAACAAAAACAACAAAAACCAATAATATTTCATTCAATAATACTATACTTCCTACTGAAAGCCCACTAACCTGTATGAGTATATGAAGAGTTCACTCTGTTATTAGACTGGTATCCCAGTATCTGGACACAGACACAATAAAGGCAGTTCTCATCTGTGTGCTCTTGTAGCCCGGTGTCTTCTGTATTTTCTAAAAACTGAGAGGCATCCGAACGGCTTGTATTCATTATTTCTGTGAGGCTGATCTGTTGTCGAAGCATTTGAAAAGGGCTTTTGACAACATCAGTAGTACCAGAAGGAAGTCCTGTAGATACGCAATTAGATGTCAGAAAGTCAGAATACCAATATGGGCTATGTTAATATACCTTGAATTAAATGGATTCTTTTAAGCTTAGGTCAAAAACCTAGAAATTATAGTTTTCATTCTGAAGAGGTTTTAGCTTCAATATCTGTGAGTTGCACAGAATGAAAAGTAGCATTTTTGTAAATCCTATCGAATCACATTTCTCAAAACAGCAAAACAAACATTTGTAAATTTCATCTGCACATCACATACTGCAAAAAAAATACACGGCAAACACGAGTTCACAAATAATAATGAAAAAAGTGTCCACATTCATTTTTATTTTCAATGCAAATGAGAAAGTTTTGTTATAAGCTAACTACTCAAAAACAGAAACAGGCACTTTAACAGGGATTAACCAACGCAGCAGTCTATGATACTAGCAGCCCAAATCTGATGTTCAGGGATCCTGGTTTTCTCTGTTTAAAAATCAAAATTTTCTGATTTAACACCCCCCCCCCCCCCATTCATGTTTTCCATGATAAAAATGAAACACCACTATATATATAGGTGTCAACTGAACACAATATTTTATTAATATACTTACAATTTTAAAGCAATTTGGAAGCCTACCAATGCTTCAATTGTTATAATAAAAAAAATCTAAATACTAGAAGTGCACCGATGCATCGGCCCATACTGTATTGGAACCAAATTAAAAGGAAAATTGACATTGTCCACAATCAGCTTTTTGGACTGATAGGGCAGATGATGGCGCCAATAAATGCCATGTGCACGTGTGTAGCTCCAGCATGCACGCAGCCAGGAATGCAGCCCAGCAGCTTGGAGAGCAGTGTTTGGCTGGTAAGTCTGTGATGGAAAGGAGCATGGGGGAAGGAAGGGGCGTGGGGAGGGCAGACTGAGGCCCCTGCAGTGAGGGAAGAAGTGGGGCTGGAGCAGGGGTAGACGCTGTCCAGCCAGGACAGGACAGGACGGAGGAGGCAGCTCGTCTGAGGGTGCAAGGGGGAGGGGTGGCTCCCGCCGCTATGCACACCCCTGGGGGAGGCACGGGGGGAATTTGCCCCCTAGACTTGTGTGCAGGGCGAGGGCAGACAGCCGCTGCACCAAGCTCTTCCTGGCGGCTGTGCTCAGGCTGGGCAGGGCAGGTGGCAGTGGCGCTGGAAGGGGGGCTAAAACCACTGGCATAGACCCCTTCCCAGTACAGCTGCTGGGAAGAGCCCGGCGTAGCCCATGCGTGTGCAGCGGCAGCCTGCCTTTGTCCTGTGCCCAGAACGG